TCTCTAGGTATCCATCATACATCTTTACCGCGCAAACATCGCGTCCTTAAGTCCTTTAGAAATTTCATGACTCATCATTATATCGCATTGATTTAAAAGATGGGCCACCATGCTATCTCATCCAAATCTTTAAATACTCTCTAATTTAATAAATATTTAATAAATGTGATTGCTAATCAAAAATTTTATTAAATGTATTTTGCGTTATTTTCATTACAATGATGTTTATATCTTATCATTTCCCATAAATCATTAACAAAAATTTTTAATTTTAAGATCCTAATATTCGAATTATAAAATATTATAATCCACATGAATTTTCTTAAAAATAATCATATTAATTTTCTTTGTATAATTACATTTATTTATTAATCAAGATAGAAAAATAAAAAATACATATGTTGTTAATTTCTTTTATACTTTTATAATATTCTTTTACATCTTATTTTTTCTGAAAATTCTATTGATTAAGATTAGAATTTAAAAAACTTTTTATGTCAAATGTAATAATAATAAATAATATCTTTATCTGTTTAATTATTTTGTACATGAGAATTTAACCAACTTTCTAATTTCCCACTATTCTTAGCTAACCATTTTATATTATTCAATACTGTTTCTAATGCTTTAGCACGATTCATAGCTCCAGCACCAGCATCGGGATACTTAGTAAAAAAGTTTTCCATTTCATTTAATTTTATTTCCGTAGCAAAAGTCTTTGTAATAGATGGAATAAGTGAACCAAGATAACGATCATTTAGAGTATATCTATTCACTAAGAATTCCCAATTGGAGCGTACCCAATCCCAAACTAATGGTGTTCCAATTGGATTATCTGAAATGGCTATTAAACAACTAAAGAAGTCTTGAGCACGGACATAATTTTCATCTGTAGCTGTTGTAATAAATCTGTAAAAAAAAGACAAAAATTAGTATAAATAATATAATATAATAAATTTTTATATATTTCTATAAATATTTGAAGTAATTTTAAAAATTTTAAAAAAGTAAATTTAAAAAGTACAGATTTTTTTCCTTTTTGTTAAAAATAATTTTTAATATTAATATAAAATATTAAAATATTACTTTGTATCAAAAATTGTTTAAGAATTCAGATAATATATGATATTATAAGAGAGATTATAAGAGATGATTAAATAAAATAAAATAAAAGAAAATAAAAGTTTTCATACTTTATGTAAAATTAAAATTTTTATGTTATCAAAATATTATGAAACTTTTTAAGTATAAACTTTTTAAATAAACAATTTTCTTAGCAAAATATCATTTTATGATTTCACTGCTTTTCTTAATATTTTAAATACATATAACTTTATAATAATGCAAATTTACAACAAAATTAATTATTAAATTATAAAATATTCATATATTTTAAGCTGTTTTTATCTGTTTTAAAAAATATCTTAGATAAAATTTATATTCAAAAAAATATTGAAACTTTGAAGGTTATTTTATTCCCTTAAATTCTAAAAAATATATTAAATTAATTCACATATAATTCATTGGAGTATACATATGAATTTTCATTTAAAATTTTGGCTTAACTAAATTTTCTTAATATAATGTACATCATTTTGTCTCTCATTATTTAGATATTTTTGAATAAATTTAGCAACTTACTTGTTCAAAATCCAACTAGATTGTATTCCAGCTAATCCACGCATTAAATTCAATTTCTCTGCTGAATCAGTTTCAGTTACAAATCTTTGGAACATAATATCCCATGTATCTCTATTACCATCATGTTGTATTCCTGAAATAATAATTATAAAATATATAATTCATTTTTTATTAATATAATATTTTTTTTTTATAAAATGCAAACATAGATATTAAAATTAAAAAAAAATTAGCATGACTATAAAAAAAGAAATTTACCATAATAATAGATAAGATCACGAATATCAGGATGTGGCCGAATGTCTTTGGAATCTGATATCCAGTTTTTAAATAATTTTCCCGCTTCTTTAATGCATTCGTTATGTTCCACAGAACAAGCCAATCGTAAAATTGTTGTTCGAAGTTTTCTATGTAAACCAGAATGAAATACAAATGAAAATAAATGATTAATATGAAAATATAAAAAGATATGAATTACTCATTTTGAAATAAAAAAATTATTACATACTGAAAAATACGACTATCAGCATTGCTTACAGTCCATCCTACTTCATGGTAAACTCTGTCTACTAAATCTCTTACATATTTCTAAAAAAAAAGAAAAAAATAGAAGAAATTTACTTAACATTCATTGTTCTCTTAAAAATCTCAAATAATATACAAATAAAATGTTATATTTATACCTTGAACTTTAATGAGGAATTAGTAGATGATAACAAGATATCGATAGCTCTTAATTTTGAAGAAACCACATTCCATGGAATAGCATGTTCTTCTCGAGGAAGATACTCAGTCATATTCATTGTCACTCCATAATCGAGTTCTCCAGCACTTGCTAGACTAAATGCATCTTCCAAAAGATGCACTCTATCCGATACTGATAATGTCTAACAATTCAATAAAAATTTTAATTAAAATATGAATATTTAATTAAAATTAACATTCTGAAATTAACATTTTAGAATCAAATGAAATATAAATAAATGAAGAAAAAAAAACATATCATGATAATATCCAATAGTATTTCGATAATTAAGTAAGTTTTTTTTATAAAAAATCGTAATAATTTTCTTGTAGTAACTAATAACACTATATAAAACGAAAATATGAAACTTCAATTAAAAATTTAAAAATTCTCTTTGATTTTTATTTTTATTATTTTTTTGTAAGTATTAAATGTACAAATTATTTTTAATGTATTTATATCATTAGGCTTACTTTTTACTTATTTCAAAAAATAAGAAATTAAATTAAAAATTAAATTATTTTTAGAATAATAGATATTTGAAAAATATATAGAAATATAATTTGAATTTGTATTCATTCTTTTTTTTCTTTTTTATTTTTTAAATTATTTTCTTCATTTTTATTGTTCCATAATCTTAAAATATCACTTATTTTACTTATCTTATCTTTATTATCACTTATTATTACTTATCCATTAATCATTTTTATAACATGATATATTATATTATTGTATATATATTAATGTTATATTATATAACATTTCAGTCATTTTTATTAAATTGTATATATTTTTATATTAAATAATAATTGCCTTTTCCAAAATAGTATTCATATCTTTCTTTATCATTAAATAATAAAAATCTTTCATATCAAATTTTGTATATATGTTTAAAAACATATTATTAGTAATATATTAAACGAAATAAATGAATTTATTAAAATAATATTTTTCTTCCAATAATACAATAAATTAAGTAATAAAAATATTATTTTAGTAAATTTATCTGCATCATTTAAGATATAATAGTATAATGTATTATTATATAATAACATTTTAATTATTTCTGAATAATAATTACATATTTGTAAAATATTTCATAAATATATATAATTAATAAATTGCATTTCTAAGATGATTTTTAAGATCTATTTTTAAAATCTTTTCAACAAAATTTTTTATTTTTATCAATCAATAAAATCATCAATTTATAATTATTAAATTTATTTACACAAGCAAACCAATGATTGCAATTATTTAATTATTTAATTATCTTCCCATTTAGATATTATAAAAACTTGTTACACACTAAAATTTTCTTTAAATAATGTTTTCCAATATATGTTTTCTAATAATAGTTTAGTCTCATTTATTTTACACATAATTTTTTTTAATGTAATAAATAAATTCTTGTTTAAATACATCAACAACAAATTTATTTGCTGAAAATTTTTCACTTAAAATATTAATTTCACAAATATCATAATATGATATAAATTTTTTGAACTGATTTTGAAATTTTACAATAATTCCAATTAAATTTTTAA